TATTTCCAGAGTTCTCTGCCTGTTCAGACACTTTTGTCAAAATGATGAAACTACCATTGTGCTGTTGTGACATGAGCTTCCCCTTCTGTATGTGTACGTGACATCGCAATGTGTGTACAAAGGGGATGGAGCTTGCATTGCAATGGTGGGGCTGCTTTCATCGCTCCCCCCACCCCCCGATACCCACCAAGGATAGATCTGCAAGTTCCCCTCCTCCAAATTTGTGGATTGCAACTGTGTTCTTTGAGGCAACACTGAATGTCACCAAGCTTTCAAATATAGCCTGGGATTTTATCATTTTAATACTTATTTGTTGGATATGTATCCTACTTTTTTCCCAAGAAGTCAATGTGGAGTACATAGGTCTTCTTCCTCCACCCACTGCTCCCCTGTTTGGACTGAGAGAAAATTTGGCCCAAAGTCACCCAAGAAGCTTCCATGACTGAGGATAAACTTGAACTTGAGTCTTCCCTTAGTCTTAGTCTAATACTTAAATCATTACAGACTGCCTCTTGGTGGAAGGAATATAGAATCCAATCCTAAATACTCTTAGATCAGTGGTATTTACTTTAAACGTTAACAATATGGGAACAATTCTACTTCAAGAACTGTCAAGCTGACCAATATAAATTAACTAACCCCCCCCCTTGACTTAATTAACAGTAGACAGTTGCAGGTTCTGAGAAACCAAGATATTTTAACACAGTTGCCAAAAAAAAAAAATAATAATAATCCTCACCCTGGAATGATGCAAAATTTCATTCTAATTTGTGTATAGCTTACATGCAAATAATGAAGACTTAATAACTGGTGCAAATAAACATGTACATTGGTGCCTACCTCCACAAGGCCTTGCAAAATTCTTACAAACATAACACACCCATAATGTACTCTGGCAGCTGCAGGAATGAACATGTTCAGAGTTGAAGTTAGAAAAATTGCTGCTCCAAATACCCTAAAAAAGGGAGAAATATAATTTTCCCCTATAATTTCATATTGCCATGATGCCATGATACTATATATTGAGCCGAGGAAAGCTGGTCTAAATAAAAGTTCAGAATCATCAGAAGATCAAATCTTTTCAAAAGGATAAACTAATCATTCACTGAAGCCTTTTTGTCTAGAACTCCAGTTCAGTCTAATTGCTATGTCCATTGTCCACCAGCATGGAAAAGGAAAATAGAAAACGAGGTAGGCACACAGCCAGATAATATCAGCTGAGAAATTTAGCTGAGCACAGTATAAAATGCATGATATTGAGGTTCTTGGTATTATGAACATTTTTATAAATGCTATTCTCAAAATGTTCAATATTACAAAACTCTTTTGAGTCCACAACTTTCTTTGCTAAATTCTTTTGAATTTAATGTTATTGTTTTTATTTCCGGACACAAACATATAATCTGACAAGGTTTAATTAACAGCAGTAACTATCAGTGCAGCTACAACATAGCAGTTGTAGTTTCATAGCAATAAGCTATTTTTGTGCCTTCAGTATTTGTAATGGAACAAACAGAATAAATATAACCATAAATATTATTTTGATCAAATCTGTGACTGTTACTTTGACTCCTAAATCAACTAAAAATATTTTAATATAATTAGAGTACGATCATGTTTTTGAATTGTGCTGGCCAAAGCCATAGAATTTTGTACTTTTTCCACCAGCAAAATACTAAATATGATTTAGGGATAAAGATGCACTGGCAACTATCAGATGTGGCTGGGGAACTGTTCAGCCAGTAAAGTTAGATTAGTAGAATAGCCTAAAAGGGGTAAGTTGGTACAGAGTAAAAACATACATCTGTTAGTAAATTCAGTCAGATCTCTTTATCACTGACTCTGTCACCTCACAAGCCACTAACTGGATCAAAAGTCACAATTTTAGCAATATAAGAAATGTATGGTATCCCATGAGCTCTTATAACAGGAGAGTACTTACAAGTATATAATGTATTCTGTTGAGATAAGCAACTGAATTGCCTGTAGTTTCTTATTATTAATAACTAAACTTATACAATCATTACATTAAATAATGATTAATATTAACTATTATCCTTCGAGCTGCAATCCTATGTCCATTTCCTCTCACTAAGTCCCACTGAACAGAGTGGAAATAATGTTTTTAAAAAACACGTATAAGGTAGTTGTTACAGTTCAAAATGAGGTCAACTCATTTTTGTCATATATATCCACAAATGATTATAGGTTGTTAGAAATGCTGAGTTCTAGAAAGGTAACACACTTTTTATACATATTATTTATTAAATCACGTGCAGCATTTTTCTAAATTCTGTATTGCATTATATTATATTAGTATATTACCTGTTAGCTGCTAGTTTATTTGCAATGAAGCCTCCTGGAATTTGTGTAACGATATAGCCCCAAAAAAACGATCCATGAATTAGTCCTACTATTTCTGGATCCCAGCTGAATTGTGCTTTCTACAAATAAAACAGTATTTAGTTGGCACCTTGATGTTTGTAAAATGTTCTTTGTTGCAAAATTCAGATATTCCAGTTATCACTAACCAACATTTGTGGATTTTTAATCCTCCAAGAGCTGTGAAAACAAACTTATCTGATGGGAGGGGGAAATCTTGTAGTTAAATCATACCTAACATTTTTAGAGTATTAATCAGCTGGCATGCTCTCAAGTTAATGGACTACACAAGGTTCATTTTACTTCTGAGTATTTGAAAGACATTGATGATATACTTACTGTCCATAATCATATATTGGAGACAGGAAAGAAAAATATCTGGAGCATTTTTATTGCAGCTAATCTCCTATCTGATTAGCCGAGCTGAGTAACTCCTTTGATCCAAATATAGGTATCTAACTATACAATGGTTGTCCTCTATTTACAGCAGTGCCTTTCTAGCTAATCAAATGCATTTTCACTTAGACTTTACAGCAATCTGTAGAAGAATATTTTAGGGGCACCTTTCAACCAGAGACTAGGACACGTTACAATGAAGCACATATTGGTTTATTTACAGAGTTGGAGGGAAAGACAGGACTAAAGAGGGGTGGGGTTACAGTCCCCCTTTATGCACATTAAGACTTATGCACATTAGAATATATCCAGATATTTCACTGGATATACACAACATGCACCCAGTGAAGTCAGTGAGGCCATTAGGGTATAATTATAAGGTAACGGCAGTACAATGGGTTTTTGAAATAACAAGAAGGCAGTTATTCCATGAACATAATTTCTTTTTAGGGAGTTACTTTCTTTTGCTTTCCCAGAGTTCTCCTCAGCTCCCAGTACCTTTTCCCAGAGTATCAGCAACTCTTGGCCTTATAAATGTTTTGTGGTTGAGCTAACAGTTTTAGTTTTCCTGAGAAGATATGTTAGGGTCTTTTAACTTGGCCCCAGGAATTCTCCTTCAATTCAGTGATATTGTCTTGGGTTGTAATTTCCATTTTCATTGTATGGTAAATGCTTATGAAGTTCTTTGTTCCATCTTGGACTACTTACTACCTGTCAGCCTGATCTACTTCACAGGGTTATTATAAAACCTGTGAATATTGGCATGGAGAAGTACATATGCCACTTTGAGTTCCTTGGAGGAAAAAACAGGATGTACATTTGTTTTTAGGATGTATGGGATCAGTATGGGAGTTAAATCATAATATTTGATAAATGCCACTAAGCTTTTAATATAGAGCCAGTTTGGTGTAATGATTAAGGCATGAGGCTAGAAACTGGGAGACCATGAGTTCTAGTCCTGCATTAAATATGAAGCCAGCTGGGTGACCTTGGACCAGTCACTCTCTCTCAGCCCTAGGATGTAGGCAATGTCAAACCACTTCTGAAAAACCTTGGAGGGCGGAGCTGGCGTCGCGGCGATACGGCGGGCGATCCTGGGTTCCCAGGATCGCAGCTGATATCTCCTCCCCCTGGACGGTCCCGACGGACCTAAGCCGTCCCGAAGAGATGGCGATCATAAGGGGCGCGTCCCGCGGATCTCAGGGATGCCGCAAGTG